CCAGGGACCCTGACTCCAGCTAGTCCTAGGGCGTGTTCATAACCCACATATACACAAGCTGCACGCAGATCCACAGAGGCTTCACACCTGGCACCTACCACACAGCACACCCCAGACATGCTCACAGCACACGTACAAGCACAGCGCTGAGTCCCTTGAATGCTAGGACCTAGTTAGTCCTATGTGGACTGGGGCCCGACAGATGGCGGGGTAGGGTTAGGATTGGGGTCGGATGGGAGCTGGGCCACAACCCTGGGCCCCACATTCCCCCAAAGCTGGGCCAGACCACATCCACTGGGCAGGTGAGCCAATAGCTGCTGCTCCAACCTGGCAGGAAAACATCCTCCAGAAGGTGGTGATGACGGCCTTCGCAGACCGTACCGTGGTCACCATTGCGGTAAGGGGCTCGCTGATGGGGTGCAAGGGGAACATCCAGAGAGAGAGCAGCCCTTGGGCTCGAGAGGGGACCCTGGAACAGGACAGGGCAAGGAGCCCGGAGGGCTTGCAGGGGCCCCGGATTGCAGGATTTGGAGTGGGGAGGATTTGTACCTGCTTGTCCCTCAGACCTTCCCTCTCATTCTCCAAGTGCCAAGGTCTGCCCTGTCCCAAGGCACTGTGAGCTGGCTAGGGTTACATTTCCACAGGAAAAGGGGGTGGGGGCTCTCTGAGACGAAGCCTGAAGGCTGGGGCAGAGCTGAGACTTGGTGAGGAGAGAGGATGTCATTAGTGGGTAGAAGGCTTGGAGTCACAGCCACTGTGGGAAAGGTCAGTCACCACAGACATAGGACATCCTAGCCGCATGCCTTCTCCCAAGCTGCAAGAGGGATGCCCTCAGCTGCCTTGCCTTTCCCCACCACCCTGACCAGCCCCCTCCTGCCCCGTCCAGCACCGTGTGCACACCATCCTGAGTGCAGACCTGGTGATTGTCCTGAAGCGTGGTGCCATCTTGGAGTTTGACACGCCGGAGAAGCTGCTCAGCCGGAAGGACAGCGTCTTTGCCTCCTTTGTCCGTGCTGACAAGTGATCTGCCAGAGGCCAAGTGCCATCCCATGCCCCATCCTGCCTCCACCTCCCACCTGGGTTTTCTAACTGTAAATTGCTTGTAAATAAAGAGACTGGTTATTTCCTAGGAGAGGCCTTGGTTCTGGGAGGCAGAGGCTGGGGCAGACTGTGGGTCCAGTGGAGCCAGCGTGCCCTTGGCATCAGGCAGAACTGAAGAAGCTGTGTGAGCGGGGGCAAAAGTGGGTTTCCTTATCTGTGAAAGGCGGTTGTATTGGTGTCCTTGGGCTGCCATAACAGAACACCAAGGACTGCGAGGCTTAAACAACAGAAATTTATTTCTGACAGTTACTTAGAGAAGTCCAAGATCGAGATGTTGCAGATTTGGTTTCTCCTGAGGCCTCTCTCCTTGGTGGCAGACAGCTACCATCTAGCTGTGTCCTCACGCGGCCTTTCTGGATTCTGTATAAACATCCATGGTGTCTCCCTCTTTGCTCATTAGGATACCGGTCATGTTGGATTAGGGCCCCACTCCTATGCCTTCATTTAACTTAATTACCTCTTCATAGGACCTATCTCCAAATACAGTTACATTGGGGTTGGGGGGGGTTCAATGTATGAATTAGGGCTTCAACATAATTTTGGGAGCAACACCTAACAAGAGATAGGGCATTTTTGTGATTATCTCATCGGATAAGGTAGCAGATCTCCTTATAGCTTGCTCCCTGTCCTTCTTACTTTAATCCCTGGACTAAAATTGTGGAGCCCCAAGTACCTTGGATTAGTACTATTTCCCTTGCAAATGACAGGAACCCAATTCCACGTGGCTTAAATAAAACCTGGGGTTTATTGTCATACATGACTGGGAAGGACAGGTGTACTACTTCAAACACAGCTCGATCCAGGTCTTTGACATCAGGGATGTGTCTCCATTTCTGGGTTCCATCTTCCTCTCCCTCCCCAGTGACAGATGGCCACTAGCAGCTCCAGCTTACTTCCTACCCCTTGAAAAATAAATGTTCTTTCTTAATAGTTCCAGCAAAAATCTTCAGAGCAAATCTCAATCGACCAACTTGGGTCACATCCCCACCTCCAATCACTGTAGTCACAGGCCTGGAATGAACTGACTGGCTAGGTCTGGGTCACATGTGCCCATCTCCATCCTGTATGTGGGGGCTTTCAGAAGTAGGAGAAAGTGGCCCTTCAGAGGGAAAGCATAGCGCATACCGCAAGTCAGCCAGTCGGTGACTGGGAGAAGCTGAGGCCCGGACATGAGAGACCCAAACAACACCTGTGCTCAGACTCCATCTGCATCATGAAACAGAAGTGCACACCTGCCCTCAGCAAAGAAATGGCAGGTGCTCATTTACATATCATGTTATTATCATTCACATGTTGCCTTCAGTAGCACCAGGCCCTGGGGTGCAGACCCAGGAGTCTTGGGCCTGTATTCCCCTTGTTTGCAACAGGTAAGAGCCATACCACATAAGTAAAACCGACCAGTCATTGGAGAGGAGTGCAGCCCAAACTCTTCTGAATGTTGTAGAAGCCAGCCCTGTAAGGCTGTCTGGGGAGGCAGGATTGGAGTTGGGCATGGGGTGGGGGGAGTTGGAGGAAAAGGCCCAAGGAGTGGTGGGTAGGGGGCATAAGATCTGAGAGCCTTGAATGCCAGGACAAGAAGTCTAGGATAAGCCTATGAACAAAAGGGAAGTGGAGAAGTTTTTTGAGTGAGAACGGGGCTTTACAAGAGCAGAGTTTGGAGGAGATGAGTATGAGGAGGTGCAGGACGGAGCAGGGGAGGGAACAGTCTTTTGGGTAATGGGTTCGCACTCTTGGAAAGGGTAGAGCAGGGAATAGCTGAGCCCTCAGGGCTACACTGTGAGGCAGGGCCTGGCCTTTCCTGTTCTGAGATGCCTCTGGGGGTCCAACAGCTCTCTCCACTGTGGGGCCTCCCAGGAGCAGAGCCAAGAGGATTCCCACATCCTCCTCTGCCCCACCCCCAGCAAGGAACTGAAGGGACTTAGCAGGGGTAGGGCCCACACTGAAGTCTTGCAGGGATGCCCAAGGCAATCCTGACCCAAACCCCTCTAGGGCATCCCTGATGGTCTGCCAACCTTGACTTGGATACCCCGCAGACACGCGTCATCTCTGGTTATTAGAACTGACTCCTCCATATGTGAAATCAAAGCCTGACTCTGTTCCACTCAGTGTCTATATACTGGGTCTGCACTTGGGGCCCAAGGGTTTCTGCAACAGTGCTCAAACTCCCTGGGGAGCTCTTCAGGGCTCTTTTTTCTGATGCCTAAACAGGTGTAGTAGCCCCAGAGGTTTCCTATCTCCCTGAGCTCCCCACTCTGCTCACCCTGTTTTCCCCTCCCCACGCTAGGCGCGGCACCTCTAGTAATATAGCCCAAGATCAAGCTTACTCTGAATAGCAGTGTTCTGCCTGCAGGTGGGTATGGGAGAAAAAGAGGAAACCTCAATATGAAAGTCACACCTAGCCCCCCCGGGGCCCATAAACCCACTGTCCTTAACTTCCCAGCCCCTGCTTCAAGCCCCCACTCCAACAAATGGACACACATGGGTCAGAGGTTCCTCCATAAGGACCTGAGCCCCAGAGAGGAAGTGGAGCCATTACTGCCACTACAGAGAGCTAGGAGGCTTTCCCTTTCAGCTAAGAACTGGGAACCTCCCACCTGGGGCCTAAGTCACAGGGCAACCCTAGGCTAATGCCTGCAGTAGAAACAACACTCATGCCCAGGCCAAGAGCTTGGGTCCCCCAGTGCCTAGGCCAGCCCTAACAGAGCCCCACTGACCCAAGTGCTCCCCATTACCTACGGTTGAAGAAATCAGGCTGCGGGTGTAAAGGGGTGTAAAGCAAGTGCCAAGTAGCTTAAACCCTCTTTAAAATGCAGGGGAAGGGTTGGGAGAAGGGCGGTCCTGGTTGAGAAGCATCCCGTGTAGTGGCTATTAAATTGTGTTCCTACACCTTCTGAGGTACTTTTTCCCCCTGGGGAGAGAGACCGTGGATTTCATCAGATTCTCAAAGGATTCATGACTCAGAAGAGCGTTCTCCAAAGAGAAGAAGCACACAGATGAGAAGTCATCGGACCACCTAATCTCCCCTTGTCACTGGGTTGGTTATGCAGCCTCTCCGTGTCCCCTTTCTTTGGGAACCCGCAAAGCCCAGTGCAGCTCCCAGAGGCAGATGTTGACCCAAACTGTGGACGGGAAAATTGCGGAGGGGAGCCAGGGCGACAGGGGCCGCGGATCCTTGTGGGAGGGCGAGTCACGACTTCCTTCACCCCCATCCTGCCCTAATTTCATAGACCGTGGGCAGAAGGAACCTCTTTTGCTCTAGCTGATTGGGCAAACCCCCAAGAACAGACTTGTAAGTCTGGAGAAAGCAGGCAGAGGAAGGCGAACGGCAAGAGGCGGGGCTTGAGTCTGTGCCCGCCCCGCTCCGGCTCGGGAATAGGTCGGGCTCCCCCTAGTGGCCCCGACCCCCACTCGACTCCTCCCGCGGCCCTTGCCCTCAATCTTCCACCCAGATTTAGCACAGGTCGGTCTCCGCGGACTGACGGACGCACCGAAGGACAGCCCGCCCCAAGCCCAACGTCAGGAAGGGGCGGGGAGGCGACGGCTGCAGCTTGAGGAGCAGGAGCAGGTGCCGCGGTGACGGGCGGGAGGGGCCGAGACAGAGCGCGGGGCGGGGGCGCGGCGCTATCTTGCGTGCGGCCGGCGCGGGGACAGGAGGACCCGACTTGGGAGTGTTCCCGGTCAGGTCACGCTGGGGCGAGGGGATCTGGAGTTGGGCCGGGTCGGGTGGTGACTCTGGAGGGCTCAGGATCCCAAGGAGACAGAGAGGACGAAAGCTGGAGGGGGTTCGGGAGAGTGGCGAGAGCGCTACGGGGGCGGGGGGGTAGGAAAGAGGGGGCATACCTGGAGGTGAGACTGGGGAGCGGTCAAGATATGAAACTAGAGTGGAGGGGACTCGGCAGAAATGGGTGAGGTGGAAGACACGGTGGGGGTTGTGTGAGGTCTGGCCAGTTGATAATAACCGTAGGTGTTAAGTTCCAAGATAGAAGAGGTGGCAGAAGGAAGGCTGGTGGGGAGAAGGGATCTTAGACGAGGGGACACTCAGGGGTGGTCAGCGGGTGAGGAGTGTTGAGCTGAGGTCCAGGGCCAGGCAGAGAACCGGCAGCGTGGGGGGGCTCACTAGGCAGATGGGCTAAGGTGTGAGGCTAGTATAAAAAGTGAAGCAGGGGCCAGATGGCGGTGAGGATGAATCTGGTTAGGGAGGCACCTCAGAAATGAGGCCAGCATAGACTGAGGGTGGACCCAGAGTGGAAGGGTACCCAGGGAGGGAACCCCACAGTGAGGCCAGAGGCTGGTCACAGGGCACCCTCCATGAGGGAAGCCTCTCCCTCGCGGTCGCTGGAGCCATGCTATCCCGCAAGGGCATCATCCCTGAGGAGTATGTGCTGACGCGGTTAGCAGAGGACCCTGCGGAGCCCCGGTACCGGGCCCGGGAGCGGAAGGCCCGCTTCGTGTCCAAGAAGGGCAACTGCAATGTGGCCCACAAGAACATCCGGGAGCAGGGCCGCTTCCTGCAGGACGTATTCACCACGCTGGTGGACCTCAAGTGGCCGCACACACTGCTTATCTTCACCATGTCCTTCCTGTGCAGCTGGCTGCTCTTTGCCATGGTCTGGTGGCTCATCGCATTCGCCCACGGTGACCTGGCTACGGGTGACCTGGCGCCCGGAGAGGGCGCCACGGTGCCCTGCGTCACCAGCATCCACTCTTTTTCATCTGCCTTCCTCTTCTCCATTGAAGTCCAAGTGACCATTGGTTTCGGCGGGCGCATGGTGACTGAAGAGTGTCCTCTAGCCATCCTGATCCTCATTGTGCAGAACATCGTGGGGCTCATGATCAATGCCATCATGCTGGGCTGCATCTTCATGAAGACTTCCCAGGCCCACCGGCGGGCTGAGACCCTCATCTTCAGCAAGCACGCAGTCATCGCTCTGCGCCATGGCCGCCTCTGCTTCATGCTGCGCGTGGGCGACCTCCGCAAAAGCATGATCATCAGCGCCACCATCCGCATGCAGGTGGTGCGCAAGACCACCAGCCCCGAGGGCGAGGTGGTGCCCCTCCACCAGGTGGACATCCCCATGGAGAACGGTGTGGGCGGCAACAGCATCTTCCTGGTGGCTCCCCTCATCATCTACCACATCATTGATTCCAACAGCCCACTCTACGACCTGGCACCTAGTGACCTGCACCACCATCAGGACCTCGAGATCATTGTCATCCTGGAAGGCGTGGTGGAAACCACAGGCATCACCACCCAAGCCCGTACCTCCTACCTGGCCGATGAGATCCTGTGGGGTCAGCGCTTTGTACCCATTGTGACTGAGGAGGATGGCCGCTACGCCGTGGACTACTCCAAGTTTGGCAACACCATCAAAGTGCCCACACCACCCTGCACAGCCCGCCAGCTTGATGAGGACCACAGCCTACTGGATGCCTTGACCCTTGCTTCGGCCCGTGGGCCACTGCGTAAGCGCAGCGTGGCCATGGCCAAGGCCAAGCCCAGGTTTAGCATCTCTCCGGATTCCCTGTCCTGAGCCATGGCCCCCTGCGTGCCCACCGCACACGTGTGCACATGGGCAGTGTGGTATGGTATGTAGAATGGACATGGTGTGGCCCTCTTGGCCAGGCCAGGGCCTGGTGTGAGGCTGGGCCCTCCGCAGTTCAGCCTCCCCGCTGCTGCTCGCCCAGGGTGTGGCAAGGCATTGTCACTACCTATTTATGGCCTCAGCTGGAGCCTGTACTGGGTTATTTTTGTTCCTGCTTCTCCCAGCCCCAACTCAGGACTGGCTGGTCCCCTTCACCGGACCCAAGGCTGGGGAAACTGTGGGAAGTGGCAGGCCCTAAAGCTGGCGGGTCTGCTACTCTTGGGGGTCCCCTGATCAACTGGCCACAAGCTGGGCAGATGGCTGGGGGAGAACAGTCCCCAGGTTGGGGGCCTGCTGCTGTGTGTTTCTATGGCCCCAGGAGATGCCTATGGTCAGGACTTGGCCACCCTTAGTCCCTGAAAACATGATGAGCTAAAGAGTGGGCCCGGCCAGCCCGGGAGGGCAGTCAGTGAGGGAGCATATTCCAGCTGGAAGATCGGAAGTGTGGAGCCTGCACAGGCAGGGACAGCCTGAGGCTGAAGGACCCCTTCCATGGGGCGGGCTCCAGCAGGGAGGAAAAAGCATGAGGACGCTCAGCTTTGCTGAGTCCTGCTCAGGCACAGGGAAAGGGAGATGGGCCCTGTGCTCCTGCCCTTTGTGGGCTGCGGCTGCTGAGACTGCCTATTCCCATCGTGTCCCCAACCTCCATGGGTAGGGGTGGGCTGGGGCAGACACTGGCATGCCAAACAGAAAGAGGCTGAGGAGAAGGGTGTCCTGGGCCCACCATGCTCAGCGGGCCTCAGACCAAATCGAGGTATTGGCTCCCCACCAGCGGCTGCCACTCACTCTGTCCAGAGGTTGATCATGGCTGGTCTGTGTGTTGCTAGAAAAGGAGATGTTGGAAAGCTCAAGGTGGTGGGGGGTGAGCAAGGTCCCTGAGGTGAAGAGGTCCTTGTCCCTGATGGGCTTGACCCCAAGCCTGGACTCTTGAGCAGTGTTGTGTGTACTTGCTCATAATCCTGCCTTCTCCCTTGTCAATAAAGCCTCCCTCCTTCATGACCTAAACTCTGGGCTGTTCTTGCTGGGGAGGCAGGAGGCATGCTGGTGGGCAGGGAGGGTAGGAGCTGGAGCAGCCAGCTCTCATTCCAGAGGTGTCATGGACCACAGTCCGGAGGCCTGCGAGGACCCCTGAGGCGGGTCATCTTGCCCAGTTCAGGGAGACATTTCCCCATTTACCTCAGGCAGCCCAGTCCTGCCAGCCGGTCTGGCCCTTTCAACCTTGGACACCTACTCTGCTTAGAGCCCTGCCTCCAGTCAGGGATCTGCTGGAAAGCTGGGTGTTCAGGGAGAGAGGCGGGCACATGATATGCATTAGTTTAGTGACTGGAGCATAAGCTCTCAAGCTAGCTGCCTGGGTTCAAATCCTGGCTCTAGCTCTAAGACCTTGGTCAAGTAACTTAACCTCTCTTTGCCTCAGTTGCCTCATCTAAAAAGCAGGGATACTAATCATACCTACGTCATAGAATTGTTGTGGGAGTAAGTGAAAAATATATGTAAATGCTGAAGTGTCTGGTCCATACTAGGTGCTCAATAAATGTTAACTATTGTGATTGTAATTGAATGAGCCGCATCATGAGACAACTGACCAAGCGGGTGTTGTTAAGAGAGAGGGTGCTGTTTTATTTCCCTTTGGTGATGCGTTTCTATGCCTGGTCTTCCTTCCTTCACACTGTCCTGCCTGACCTAATCACAGGGGCTGTGGCAGCACCTACTACCTGGTCTTCTTGTCTCCATCCCACCCCCTCAGTCCATCTGCCATGCAGCCACCAGCGGTCTTATGAAAAGGCTTGTGATCATCCCCTCCCATGTCAACCACTGGCACTAGCTCCCCATCGCCTTCTGGGGCAGGGCCAGATCTGTACCCAGCCATTTCAGGCTTTGCCTGCTTTCCAGCCTTGCAGCGCACCAGCCCCTCTCCTCTAGCTCTTTGGCCTCTTTGTGTATAAAATTGACCTTCCTCCCTCTGAGCCTTTGCCTGTTACTCCCTTTGCCTGGACTGCCCAGGTGTCATCTCTGCCTGCTGAAATCCATAAAGCCCAGGCCAGATGATGCCTCCTCGAAGCCTTCCCTGATTCCTCTGGAAAGACATGGTCCCTCCCCTTACCTGTGTTTGTGGGCGTTCTGTTTTTGCCTATGTTTATGGGTCTGTCTCCCCATCTTCAAGCCTGCAGCTCCCCGAGGTCAGGGACTATGTCTGATTTAGCAGTGTGCCTGGCACTGACGCAGTGCTGAATGAATAAGTGAATGGTGGATGGATGGAGGGAGGGATGGACATCCAGATGGTGCACAAGACAGCAATCTAGGGTTATTGCTACAGTGTGAGGCCTACAGAGGGGTTTTGGTTGGATCAGTGATAGTTTGTCCCTGGAGACTCGAGAGACAGGGCTGAGATCCAGGAAGCTGCTGCTTCTGTTCCAGGCTCTAAGCTGCCCCTTCCCTGCACCACACAGTCCCCCAGCATTGATTTCCTTCCTTCCTGAGCTGACCCATTTAATGGCTTAGAGGAAAAAAGAAATGAGAAGCTACTCAGAGTCAGCCCAGACTTTCTGGGACTTAGATCGGCTGCTTTGAAGGCCAGCGGAAGGACCAGACCCACTGTGAAACCCCTTGGCAGCACCATCCTTCGGACCCACTCAAAGTAACCTTCCTCCAGCCTCTCAAAACAGAAGCGGCTGGTGACAGTGACCTGGCAAAACTGAGGGCTCAGCGCCACCTGCTGGCCAGAGACAAGACCTACTTGATCCCAGAATATCAGGGCCTCTGGTCCTAAGCTTCAGGTTTAGCTCAGGGAGGAGCTGGAAAGTTCCAGGCATGGAGGGGAAGCTAGACCAAGCCTTTCTTGACCCTTGTGAATGTTATTGCCCGCTGATAGTGCCCCTTCCATCTAGGGGCACCCGTGCTTTAACGCACTGGACTAACCTGGCCAAGGAAGCGCCGCTGAGCTTCACTCAGCCTAGCAGGAACTTCTGTGAGAATTTAGCATCTGATATTCAGCCCCAGGACAGCACTGGACTTCACATAAGAGCAGACAGAGCAGTCCATGCTAGTTACAACCTGGGCGCAGACCCAGCTCTCCACCAGGCCCCCCAGAGAGGGGAGGGAGGTTCCTCAGGTCACTGTGGTCCGGTGCTGATGGAGACGCTGTTCTCCAAGTTTGTAGGTGAGGAAACAGGATCAGAAGTGATGTTAACTTGCTAAACATTTGCTAACGTCACAGTTAGCAAATGGCAGGCCCAAGATTTGTTCCTGAGTCTGTCTGAGACTGCTGCACAGTGCCAGGGACCCGCTCTCCAGCTCTTACTAGGGGTGCTGCCTTTCCAAAGTGTCAAATCCACCACAGACAGTTGTCTCTAGATCAAGAACAAGAGAGACAGTGTAACTCGGGAAGCCCCTGAGCTTCCCTGAGTCCCAGGTTCATGACTGATGACAGGCTCAGCTGTGGCAACACCCATGGGTTTGGCATCTTCAGCCAGTCACCACGAGGCCTACCCATGGCCCTTCTGCAGAGAGGACTCACCCAGCCTCTACAGGATCCGCTCAGCATAGGTGGCATCCTCCCAACTCCATCCGGCATGTGAGCTCCTACCCAACAGTTTCTCTTAGGGAGAACTTTCCTAAGGAGCTTTCCACTAGGAGTAGAGCAACCATGTCTCCCTGTGTGTCTCTGGTCTCGTCTCTGAGGTCTCCCCAGGTCCAGGTATCAGACACCTTATCTTGTACCAAGACATGCAGAAGACTTTGGGGAAGAGGTGAATTGTGCATGCTAAAGTCATGTTGACTCCAGACTAGGGCAGGTGTGAACAGCAACAAACCTATGATCTGTTTCAGCTTCCAAGAAGCTGGGGAAAGACAGAACGGTGGGATTCAAATCAGAACTGGGTTCCAGACAGTGGGTTTATTGCACTAGAATCTAAATTATTGGCATCCTCTCAGCCAGGTCCACCTGCCTGGGGCATTGTATATCTTCATGGAAAGGGCAGCAGGTGCTACCTACACACTACTCTGGGCAGGCCCAACTCTGAAGTGACATGAAAGGCAGGTCACTTAGGCTGGCCAGCTTGGGTACAGGATGCCAATGAGAAGGAAAGCAATACAAAGTGCCTATGAAACTACACAAATGTGCGTCCTTCGCAGGGAGAAGCAAGGGCATACAGAGTATGGGTCAGGTCAGTGCTACTCAGGAGCCTTCTTCAGCCATGCATCTCCCTTTCATGAAGGGGTATCATTCCTTGCAGCACAGGTACACCCCAAACGCCCCCTGCACAGCCCATCAGCGCCCAAAGTGAAGCAAACCAGACTCTGAGGCGCCCTGACTCTGTATTCTCTTTATTTCATCAATTTCAGTTTTTCTCATAAGGCCATTATTATTGGGGAACGGAAGTCACTCCAGGGTAAACCAGAGAGAAGTAAATGCTCAGTTCTGACTGAGACTCTTTTGTTAAATTACTGGCTGCTTGGTTTCACATCCATCGTGAAAAAAGAAGAATGAAAGTCATCCCATAATCCTGCCTTTTTTGAGCCTCTCTTCAGGTCTGACCAACATACTTATTTCTCAGGTTAGTAATTCTTTTGATGCCTTTTTTCTACATCATAGACTCCCTTCTAATCAATCATGTCCATTTAACGTTCCCCACATTTCACATCTAATATTTTTATTTTCATCTTACAATATCTCATTTGTGATTTCCCCATTAATTGTAGTTTTTCCTTGTATTATTTTACTGTTCTATCAGATTCTCTACAAAATTCTAATTTCTTTTACTAAATTTATAAAATCTCATCTACCTTACTACTTTTTTCCAAGGAGTGTCATTCTCTTCCCATCACTGTAACTAGCTTGGACTACTCCCTTTGTTCCACAGTCCCACTGTTGCCCTGTGCCTCCTTCCACTTTGAGATTTACTGAACTCTCTCCACTTGGGAGTTTATTGGGTCCTTTAACAACAAACAGGCACCAGCCACACTGATGCTGCAATCCCCAAATGCCACCACTAGAGGCCACTCTAACACCCTCAGGAGGAAGCTCAGCTGTGGGGAGCGTTCTGTTTATCCTTCTAAGTGAGTGAGTTGCAACCTTTTTCATCTCACGGCACACGTAAACTAATTCCTAAAATACTACGATACACCAAAAATATATTGTTTGTCACTCTGACCAAAAAATAGTATGATTTTGAAATATTCATATCGGATGGCTTTTGTGTTGTCATTTTTTTATGGATGGCTGTTGTCATTTTTTTTAATTTGACAATCTAAGGGGAAAAAGGTCAGCGTCTCTGACTAGTCAGGTATTGCATGTTTCAAAAATTCTTGCAGCATTTCAAGGTGCCTGCTGCAGAACAGCAGTTGAAAATCGATGCTCTAAGCCAAGAGACTTAAGACCTAACAAACTGTTTCTGAGTCTTGACTCCAACTTCTGGTAGTGATGGGCACCAGGCTTCTCCATCTCACAAAGGTCCAGAAATACAACTGCACGTCCCTGATAACTGCATTCAGAACCGCACTGTACATTACCCATGATCAACACCTGGCATGCGACCCTCCACAGCCCTGTCAACCCGTCCTGGCTGAGGCGCCCATATTGTTATCCAATTAGGAATAGCATCAGCCACCTTGGTTCAGTTACAGAAAGTAAGGGAAGGGTCAAACACCCACCAACCGATCCTCCCTTAAGAACTGGCTGGAATTGTACCGAGTCAGCCTCACCTCTAGGCCAAATTAATGGTCAAGCCCATCATCCACAGCCCAGCCCCACCCTGGAGCGTCCTTGGTGGTATGGCATATTGATTAAAAATCCAAGCTGCACCTTTTTCTAGCCATGAGAAGGAGATGGGGGTGGGCAAGTCATTTATCCTGTATCAAAGAATAACTCAGATATAAATTAAAATAACTTTTATTCACATACTGGTATGTACAGGTTGATCTCATGGAACAAAGAAATAGAATTTGAAATGGAAACAGGCCAACAGTAACTGGAAACAATAGCTGTTGCTTTCTCCTCTCCCCCC